CTGGTTTGATGGGCATGACGTACGATGAAGATGAGGGCGTCAAGCCAGTAATCGGCTGGGCAATCACTGACGCGAATACCTCGGCCTCTAAAACCTAACATTAGAATACATAGTCAGCATCCTCCCAGCATCCTCTACATTCGGAGTTAAACTTGATGGAAATCTGGGGTGCTCACCAGTATCATTCCAAGTTAGTGAATTCCTGCACATGAATAGCACTGTGCAAATGAATAGCAACTTGCAGGTGAATTCTATGACGGCTCTCTCTTGACACGTACTTGCATATTTCACTTTGTGGACTACAGTTGCCAACCTCGCTCTTTAGAGAGTTTCACAGCATCATGCGTGATGACATCATCATCGTCATCATTTTGGGCATTCTTTTTTAGGCTTTTTTTGCGGCATTACAAGTAGAAATCACAATCTCTGCTTTGCCACTCTCTACACCTCATACAGTGATGTATTTTGCCTGTCCACTGTACCACCGCACTGCTTATTCCGACCTCATTGTGTTTTGCCGACTGCAGCACCAAGCCGGCTCTTGCGTGGTACATGTAATATTTTGATCGAAGGACTGTGCTTTTTTCTGCACGTACGTGTTGATGTCTGTGTGTTCTCCATTCTCCTAACCCTCCAAGATGTCAGCAATGCACACAGAATGTATACACAGCATGCCATCACTGCATTTCATCATACACACTAGAACAGGGAGCCCTACACATACACTCTATGTGTAGGGCTCCCTGTTCTAGAATGTGTGACGGTATGCACAATGTGTTGAAAATTAAATTAAAAGTACTTCGAAGTTCGAAGTACACAATATTGAAAGGATTGGGAGTACCCCCGCCCCGACTGATCCTTTGAAGTACACAATCATTAATTTTAGTTTATTTTTTTGTAAATATGTGCCAAGTCCACACGACTGTCCCTGTAGTGAGGGAAGAACGCATGCGTGCGAGGACATTGTACATGTGCATGTACATGTACTTGAGTATGTGCGTTGGATCCAAGCAAGGGCATGCAGTCGTGAGCATAAATTTCAAGAAAAGAAAGTGATTTGGGCCGGAAAGACACTCGACTCTACGACTTTTGGTGTTCAGTATACTGAGGTCCTCGTGCACGTGGGAGCAAGGGAACACTGAGGAACAGCGTGTTATAGCGAAAATTACGCTATAGCGGATTATGTAACGGCGAGGAAATTTTGTACAGAAGTGATGCGGTTTCGGCAGGGACATTCGCATTTCGTAGTACCCCAACACTGTGTTTGGAGTGTTTTTTTTTCAGATAATATCTGTAAAAAATAACGAATAATTACTACAGTACTGTCAGCAACCGGTCTGACTACCTTTGAAAAAGTAAACGAGCTGTGCATTTATCTTCTATCAACACTTGTGCATTATTCGTTCTATTACTCTCTTCGATATTCACCTTTTGTGTGATCACTTTACTTTATGGCTTCAGTTCCGTTTTTCCACTCACGATTGGAGCTTGAAAAATGAAAATCGATCTTGGAAGTACGTTCATGTATTGTAGATCTACACATTGTAAAACCTCTAACAAGTAGTGATGTGGTGTTGTGTGCAGCACTCGTACTTTTTACATCTCTAACTGTGCATTTCTTGGGGATAATAATACGCGTACAGGTATTTACTGTAGATCCTCGGACCCCTGACGTTGTGCTGAGGCTCAGTAACTGACTTTGACGTTTCACAGTAACTGCTAGTACTAGTAGTAGTGTAAGTATTACAGTCACCACTGCACTGGGCATTGTCACATTGATTGGTCGATATGCACGGGCATATCTACTAGTACTAGTACATCTTGGCTTGGACCTTTACATGCAGTAGGCTCTACTAGTCAGTGCTTGATAGATCTACACTGATACGACGATATCTACATGTCAACACATGGCTAGTCTTTTACTCGCCAGCTAGCTAGCTCTGGACGTCTAGTACTATTAGTATAGCAACTACTGCGTAAGAGTGGTAAGTGTACTGGTGGAAAAGGAAGATACCGGTATAAAAAAAAGGAAAAAAGGTCTTGTCGATCATCCAGTAGAGCAGTGCAAGTGCCGGCAAGCGAGTGATCGACGGGCCAATGGCTATGGAAGCTAGTTGACTACACAGTCATAGTCTACGTTATAGTAGTCCACTGACTGCTCTTGTCTGAGTGTTGATCTGGTCCATTCACTGCTCAGCGAGAACTGTTCGGCGGGCCGCCGGGGAGAAGTGTGAAGTAAGTTTGGTTGGTGGTCACTGCCTCCTGCATAGCCAATGATGGCGCAGGCATCCGTAACATTCGGAAAATATGTGGAGCGCGGCGAGCACCCGGACCCGGACGACTTCGTGTCGGAAAAAGACGTTGGTGCCATTCATTTTGCTCAAACCCCAGTTGAGGCGATGGCTGTGGAGACGGAGGGAAGAAAGCTGTTCCAGAGAAATAAGAAGGGCCTTCACCCGCTTATCGACGCCAGCCATGCTTGTTTTATGCAGCATCTGCCTCTCGTTCTGAGCCCAGACATAATCTGGCTGACGATTGCTCAAGGGTTGTCGAAGCATATCAACTCTGATCCAGAGAAGTTCAGGTATCGCTTTGTGGAGCATGAAGGTCAGCTTCAGCTGGACGTGGAAAGACATACATTTGTCCGTGGTTCTCCATCCAATGACTGGCCAGGAGTTTTCAAAGAATTCTCCGGCAAGATTCGAGAGTACATTGGAGCTAAAACTCATGACCTTCTTGTACCGACGTTCTCCACCACAACACCTGTGTCAGCAGCAGCTGCGGAGATTGTACTTCTGGAGGCCATGCAAAGTTACTTCTCGTATCATTTGTTTACAGGGTGTGCCATCCCATCCTTCACGATCTTGGGCACGGTGGACGACTGGAGATCAATACGTTCGCGGGTTCTTGGTTTCCTGCAAATCGACAAGGACCTAGAGTGGTGGACAACGCCTCTCGTGTTCGTACTTGATCATTTCATCCTGGCGGCAGAGGACAAGGCAGATTTGGAGTTCTGGAAAAGCTGGTACAAGTTTGAGTCCTGGTCGGGAGGGAATGCCGTCACAGGAGCAGTCCTCGCATTATTTCCGTACATCGACTCAAAACGCAATAGACATGTGGACTTCCGACGTGCAGGAGCAGAGATTGCCGACTCCCAAGGTGAAGGATCTGAGTCCAGGAACTATTTTGGCCAAGTAGTTGATAGCAGCGGCGTTGGCTTGAAGCGTTTCTCATCTTCATTGTCCAAGGCACCGTTCACATGGCACTACCATAAAACCGATCTTTCAATGTTGTTCGTCTCTGGTTTGATGGGCATGACGTATGATGAAGACGAGGGCGTCAAGCCAGTAATCGGCTGGGCAGTCACTGACGCGAATACCTCGGCCTCTAAAACCTAACATTAGAATACATAGTCAGCATCCTCTACATACGGAGTTAAACTTGATGGAAATCTGGGGTGCTCACCAGTATCATTCCAAGTTGGTGAATTCCTGCACATGAATAGCACTGTGCAGGTGAATAGCAATGTGTAGGTGAATTCTATGACGGCTCTCTCTTGACATGTATAGGTATTTGTATATTTCACTTTGTGGACTACAGTTGCCAACCTCTTTCCTTAGAGAGTTTCACCGCATGATGCGTCATGACATCTTCATCGTCATCAATTTGGGCATTCTTTTAAAAGGCTTTTTTGCGGCATTACAAGTAAAAATCACAATCTCTGCTTTGCAACTCTCTACACCCATACAGTGATGTATTTTGCCTATCCACTGTACCACCGCACTGCTTATTCCGACCTCATTGTGTTTTACCGACTGCAGCACCAAGCCAGCTCTTGCATAATAGCACATTGGTCATATGGCACGTAGATCTACGGTTCATGTTGGTGTAAGCAAGAGAGAGAGAGAGAGAGAGAGAGAGAGAGAGAGAGAGAGAGAGAGAGAGAGAGAGAGAGAGAGAGAGAGAGAGAGAGAGAGAGAGAGAGAGAGAGAGAGAGAGAGAGAGAGAGAGAGAGAGAGAGATAGAGAGAGAGAGAGATAGATAGATAGATAGATAGATAGATAGAGAGAGAGAGAGAGAGAGAGAGAGAGAGAGAGAGAGAGAGAGAGAGAGAGAGAGATAAGTGTATGACTGCTGAGTCCAGTATTTGATATGGGTGAACCAGTTCTCATGAATTATGACGGGGGCGGCCATGGGGTCTCGATCCGGGCACCATTTCATCCAAGAAATAATGTGCGTAGCTGTCATGATGCCTAGTTACATGTACATGGACATGACCAAACCACTTCATTTAATGTGCTTTTGAATAGTTGAATCAAGGCGTGTGCATGTGAATGGGCAAATAGCATTTTTGACTTCAAGCAGAACGGACTGATTTTGTGCGAGAACAATAGCAGTTATCAAGCGTATTTTTATTTTGAGAGATATCGTTCGGCAAGTCCATAATGTATTGTATTTTATTGTGCATTTTTTGTTATTTTACTTGGGCATTCCCAGCAGACCCGAAGGCCTTCTTACAGGGTGCCCAAGGTGAACGCATGTGTTAAGTTCCTGGCGAAATGAATAATTGGGGATAGGATTAGTGCGGAGGGCCCATATGATTCGGGAATATCTTTAGCTCCTGAAGCTTTGATGCTGCAATCGCCAGTCTTTTCTTGACTTCGATGTCAGATGTTCCAGCTGCACGGATGGTCGCTCCGAGGTACTGAATTTTTGCACCCGCTCCGATGGGACACCATCCACACTCACCCGGGAGTACTGGTTTTTAGACCATTCGTGCTCAGTTTTAGTACTCCCTGATCTAACTGGGAGAGCTATATCTATGTACGAGAAGCATATCGACATTGGAATGATCCATCTATCAGCTACTTTGACCAGGGCCTGACCGTGGAAAGCAACGCACCACAGGACTTAACCTACAGGGCATTCGAGATGCCGGCAGACATTCAGTACAACTCATCACAGCTTCACTATGATACGTACTTCTATGTTGTGTTCCGATGGGAAACGAATTCGATCCGAGCAGTTTGACAAGGACCACTGACTACACTGATGTGTACAGTAACAATCCTGGCCAATCAGCCACACTTGCTGCCGCACTAAATGGAGATCTATCAAGCAACGTCGTTACACTGTCGCACAGTGAAGTGCAGATTTATTTTCATCTCAATGGGTACTCCCCCGACTGATATCGGTTTTTCGGGATCCTTTGAAAGTAAGTCATTGCTGCTGATGTTTTCTGCCATTGCTGCTGCTGCTGATGATGATGTTTTCTGCCGTTGCTGCTGCTGCTGCTCAGCGTACTGATCGACATGACTTCTGATGTTGTATTAGCTGAACCCAGCCTGTCTGTGATTCACAGCATGGATAATACCAAACGTCATACATAGAGCAAACATATAGTCAACTTCGCTAATAACGACTGCGGATATAACGACAATTCGCGAATAACGACAGCATTTCCATGCCCAGAGCAAAGTCCCTAGGCCCTTCCAACTGTAATACATAATTATAATGAGACTTCGGGTATAACGACACTTCGCGAATGAGGACACTTTTTTGATGCCCCGCCGAGTGTCGTTATAAGCAAAGTTGACTGTACGTTAATAAGTATAACCTCAGCAAAGGCGCGGTGGTGTCATGTTCAAATGGGCCGGGTAAGCACCGACTGTAAACGCCTTGTTGAGAGGTGCCGGTTACTAAGTATGTGGGCCGGTCTGCTCTTTGTGTGCACCGGAGGTGTTTGTAGTTTGCGGCGGAGGAGGAAGCGAGCAGCCGGCCAGAAGAAGCGTGCCATGCGCCGCCACAAGCTCCGCAAAGTATACCAGCACAGTGGAAGACTGTCAAAGAATGAAACACACATCGATCGAGTAAGTGATTGGCAGTCCTGCCATCGGATAGCAGAGTCTATCCGAACCACTTCTCCTGGCAGTGTTGCGGGAACTGTTGCACAATCAGATTCACCAGTATCTTGCTTATTATGTGTTAGTGTTGGACAAACTACGGCCCGGATAACATGTACTGCACCATGTTCCGGGATCAGTGTTAACGGCACCGGGGTCTAAGCCGCACCCCCTTTCGGGCCCAAAACTCATAATAATCTCTTTTGGCATTCGGAGTACGAGCCGCACGTCCAATTTTGAATTTTTGGCTATCCAAACTTGATGGGCATTAGTACATTCAAGACGTTTACCAATGGTTATTAAAAAAAACCAGCTGAGAAGCACGACTGAAGTTCTAGCAAAAAAGTTCTTTGTTTGTCCCTGACTCTGAGCTGACAATACAGAAGTATCGTACAACTGCAATGATGGATTTCTGTGCATGAAAAGTATATAAAACGTAGTCCAATGACATCGTACATGCATGTTATGCATATGGCACGCCATACCACCGGTTGATTCGTGGCCAGCATTCGGAGTCTCAGCCACAGGGGCGATTTTGAGTACTTTTAGGCGTTGCAAAGTGCGGCTCACACCCCGGAATATACGGTAACCCTTTGGGTCTTTCTTTTCTATTATAATGCGTGGCTCTCCATGCGAGTCTAATATACAGTAACTGTTGTTGTTGGTACTTCTGAACTGGTAAATATCAGGCTTCTGTTCGTGAATGCACACTGAGGCGATTTCCAACACCTTCAACTGAGGTGAAGGAGAAATATTGGAAGAAGTGCGAGGCGACGGTGGGAGTGGGGGAGGCCGGGAAGGAGTCATGAACTTGGCAGATGGTGCATATATACAGGGGCCTTTGAGAACTGCTTCCGGATTTCATCTGAGTACTTGTTCTTTTTGCGTGCGTGTGAATTTCCACTTGTGCAGAGCAAGTACGAGCACATCATGAAGTTCAAAATCGCAATGCTGCTGGGGAAAGTGTCCATGGCCGAGGCGTGTGACAGCAACTGCACCACTCGACAGCTCATGAGCATGCACAAGTGCTGCGAGCACTGGCAAAATAATGGTATAACCCCGAACGCATGCCCAGGCCGCAGGCCATCAGCAGCTAGCGACCTGGAACTCTGCTCTCCGCACTACCCTCTTCAACAAAAGAGCCGCCTGCATAGACACGATAACAGCCAGAAGCATCGCAATCGACTCAGAAAGAGGCAGCAGAAGCAAGCAATGGTGATCGAAGCTAAGCCACAGAAATGAGCCAAGAGACTTCGCTTGCAGCGAGAGCGGGCATCACGGCGGAGGCCACCCCATACGACACAACTCACCTCTCCAATCTAGATGCTCCAGTCATGTCGAACCATGCGCTGGCGGCTTTCCAGCAGCCAGTGCCTTCGGATATGGCGTGCAATTGACCTGCAGATTCACTAGCCGCTGACGGGCAGTCATCTGTATGCACCCTGACTTCTATTTAAGCACACTTTATAGACCGTGTTTCTGTCCGAGCGATAGCAACGTTCACCAAGTACTGGGTACATAACTTAGGTAACACAGACAGATGTGTCGCTAGCTACGCCATGTAAGCTAGGCACATTCGATTATCATTGTGTTCAACTATTCTAAGCATACACACACACACACACACACACACACACACACACACACACACACACACACACACACACACACAAACACACACAAACAGATATAGCAGCAAGTAGCACTGAAACCGTACACTTCTCTGGCTGGCAACATGAAGCAATCGCTAGCTACGAGCACAGCCACACCTTAGCTGCCATGTGCACAATCCGAATTCTCTGTTTAACGTTTGACTTAAGGTACTCTCTGCCACCCTTGAACGAGAAAGTTTCATGGCACAGTTCATGTTATTTGATGAGGAGACAATGCTGAGCACTAGCTGTAGTGCATGACTGCTCGGGCGTAGTTTACCTTCGCTTTCTTTCATTCTGTCCCAGTCAACCTATCACATCATTAAATATGCGGAGATTGGCGGTGCTTTCATTAAGTAAGAGTATCTATTGGTATACATGACATACTTCTAAATACTTGTAAGTAGCTGAATAAGTTAGACAGTGTAGACACACATTATGTGCTGCTCATCCATTTAAAATGCTTGCTTGCTTGGAAGAATGACGTGCATATGCACAACTAAGCTACGGAGTGTTTGGCAGCTTTGGTGGGCCAGTGTGACAGTCGTGAGATCTTCTCAAGCCGATTGTCTTCCAGGAATGGTTCCTGTGATATTGTTGGTGCAATTGGCATGACGCAGCCGGATCCTCGAACTATGTTAAAAGCAGGGGTTTGCACTTGAACTGAGCTGCCGGTGTTAAAGTCGTAACTGGCGCATTCGCAGCCACTCCAATCCAGATAGACGCGAACGATCAGTATGTCAGTGGATTTTTTAAACCGAGTGTGTCAGCCGGCTTGCACTTTTGGAATACTAGTACCCACCGGTTGTCTCGTTCCCCATCCAGGCGTGTTGCAAACGAGAATCTCAGTGGTGCAAGAGCAAGTTTGCCAGTTGAGCGGACGACCCACAGCATGCCAACACCCAAGTATAGTGTTAAGTGACCAATGGAACGTACAACTGTTCTGTATACAACGCCAGGCTCGCCCCCCCCCCCCCCCCCAGGTGTGTGCATGTCACAGTTGAATTCCATCAAAACCTGTATTCTAAACGTAACTGCAACAACTAATTGCTCAAGGACAACTCCGCATCGGTCACTAACTTCACCAGAGCAACCTACCGCTATACCCCGTCCTATCCTACAGAAGTGGGAGATACACACTTCACAAGTCAGTTAGAGGACAGTGCACATCAAGAATCTCAGCCAGCCAACACCGTTGTCATGGTAACTAGAAAACATAGTCAGAGGTGTCATAGCTCGGCATAAAATAAAGTACTGAGAGTCTGATACTGAGTATGGTCGATGACCTGGCACCGTCCTGCTCCAACAAATATCCAATGTGCAAACCAACTCGGAAATATCAGACAAATGCGGAAGGAGATGACTTTGTGAACGAACTGCATCAAATTGTCCTTTCTTCTCTCTGTATTTATTATTGGCTCAGTGTCCGAGATCAATTCAATGTGGCTTCCTGTACCATTGTCCTGATCATGTTGAAAGCCAGGAGTAGGCACCGGCGGATAATGCTAGCATAATAACTAGCATAATGACCCATGTGGGGAAGACCGGCACTGCCCTAGCATAAAGCCTCCAAATGTGACCTTGTCTAGCACAATCGATGTGTGAAACTAGCACTACGTCAAGATGAAAGTGTATGCTGGATGCCACCGTTGCCAGAAGCGTGTTTGGCACTGTTTACTGCGTTTACGGAGTTGTTCAAACTGCACTGACTTGTACTTGGAGCTAAATATAGCATTGTGCACACTTTTTGCAAATTTGATTTCCAAATTTGCAATGCTTGTCTTGAAGTTCAATGTCAATGATACGGCGAGTCTTTTCCAAGTAAGAACGGTAGTTTGTAAATATTTCGGCCTTCAACTTTAGCATGTTGAGTCGTTGTTGACAGTGAAAATAATTATAAAAGTGGTAAGTCCTTCGCTATAAGTGAGCAAACTAGTTGTACTGTCGTAGCTTGTCGTAATTTGTTGGCCCGATGGCAGCTACGGGAGACGGAGGCTCTGGTTTTGAAACAGAAGATGAGAGCAGTGAGAGTGATGGCTTTGTTTGCGAAGAGGGAAGCTCTGACTTGGAAAAGAACGCGGCAGCCGACAGTCTTCCAGCAGCACAACCAGCTGCTATTGCCCGCAAAAGGTCGTTTGCAAGAAGTGGAAAGTCAAGCGACTCGAGCCAGAATTCGGAAGCGAAGCGCGTGAGAGTGTCAGCTGGGAAATCCACCGCAGCTCCTCGACGCAGCACCCACGATCGGATAGCAGAATTCCCAGGCGAGTACCTCTCAGTTTCTGCGGGGAAACTCTACTGCACAGCTTGTAACTTGACGATCAGTATCAAGCACAGCATTGTGAAAGCGCATGTGAATAGCCAACGACATGTGCAAGGAAAGGAGAGTAAGAAACGGGCGAAACTTCACCAACAGGCAATAACTATATTGTGGAAAAAGTTTTCAAGTGAAAGCACGTCTGACCTGGCGGGAAGCGGTCTGTCACAAGCTGTGTCCGAAGATGTTGTTCGGCGGGCCAACGTTGTTGAGACTTTCCTAAAGGCTGGAATTCCGCTCAGTAAGGTGGATTACCTGCGCCCTCTCCTGGAGAGTGGTTACGGACGTTTAACATATAGCACTCACATGGCTCAGCTGATTCCATTCCTGCACTGCAAGGAGGAAGATGAATTAAAGAAGGAGATATCAGGTGCACCGTATGTGGCTGTCATATTTGATGGAACTTCCCGCCTGGGAGAGGCACTTGCAGTGGTTCTGCGGTATGTGGATGCAGATTTGAAGATTCATCAGAGATTTGTTCGCTTCCATGTACTGGCAAAGAGTCTGGCAGGTCTGGAGTTGTCCTGTGATACTGCCATATTCCGAGTGACTGCATAGGGAAGTCATTATTTCCCACCGTATGGATTGACATTTTCGTAGCACTATCGGCACTGCTAGCATTATAACTAGCATAATCGCTCCAAATAACTAGCAGTGCTAGTAGCACAATTTCCTCATATAACTAGCATTATCCGCCGGTGCCTAGCCAGGAGCCCTCAGGCGTACGCCCCTCGGGTTAACTTGCCAGGCACAAACACGCCTCCCAGCACCACGCACGAACCAATAACATGACATTGTACTGATATGCAGAGTTCCACACTCTTGGGGCCCCAGGGCCTTGATCGACTGCAAGGCGCCGCCAAAAATGGTCACTTTGCATGAGGTACAATGTACATGTAGATGATGTGTGCAGCACAGCGTGTCAGGTAGGTAGGGGTTTCCAGATTATCTTTTTGAATACCGTATTTCCGCAAATAGTAGGCCGGTCTACTATTTCTTTCAAACTCGTCCTAACCCGGCCTTATAATTGAGAACGGTCTTGTATTGGAGGACGGTCTTTTACTCTTTCAACCCAGTTTGATCCCCTGTCTTCTATTTTTCGCCACACAGTTTTACCCCCGTTCTTCCATTTTCTTCTACACAGTTTGAGCACGGTCTTCTATTTTTCTCATCCTCATTTAGTAGGCCCGGTCTTCTAATCGGAGCAGTCTTGTACTTTTCAATTGCCCCCTGCCCCGGCCTTGTATTCGAGGAAGGCGTTGTATACGAGGACGGTCTTTTATTTGCGGAAATACGGTAATGGAGTGTTTTTTGGATCTTTGGAATTTTTTCGAATTTTGCTGTTTTTCCGTGATTTTTCGCAAATTCGACAATTTTTGGAACATTTTGCCAAATTCTACCTTTTTTAGACCTTTTTTCGAGGTGTGTTGGAAATCTGATCAGCTGAGGGACCAAAGGCACCTATCACGTGCCGCGATGGGCCTGAAAATTTTCGACGTCAGTGCACGCGGCGTCTGATCTGAGCTCAGCGCTCTCATGCATATGTTACGTCATCGTTGCCATGGCAACGGGTAGATCATTTTCAGGTTTTGAGTGACTTTTGAATATTTTTTTGAAATTTTTGCATAGCATCATTTTTTGGATTTGAATCTTAATGCTCGAGAACAATATCTTGTATCTCAATAATACGCAATTTCTTGCGAATAATCTGGAAACCCTTACAGGTAGGACATACAAGTCATGTAGATGTGCCACAGATGTGCCATCGCTCAGTCCCATTCCGGAAAAAGAAGTGCATGACAGATACTAGGTACACTGTACTAGTAGTACATGATTGTACTTCAATGTATACATGCGAACACCCTGTGGTTTCCTATGCATGGGTCATTTTCGAGGGGAATTATTATTTTCATAGCTGGCATGCTTTTTAAAGGGGACGTTAAGGCTAAAATCAAAATTTCACCAGTTGTAGTCTTCGGGGTGCTGAGTCGAATGGTCGTGGTCCGAGGAAGCTGAGACGCTCCCTTCCTACTTTAATCCCAATCGAACTCGCGCACTTCCACCGAAACTGGGTGACTGCGCCCTACTAGATGGGGGATTTATTATTATTATTATTATTTATTAAATTTTTAATAGGGCATTCCCATGATTTGTATGCAAAATGTCACTAAAAGCGCCATGTCGTTCTTATAGAAGCACGGATGACCGCGATTGGCCCTAGGCCTTGACGGATTATGCTAGCATAATTTTTCGCATAATTCCTACCAAAATCGAATAATCGCATAATTCGAGGCAAATTGCATACGAATCGCATAAAATTGTAATAATCCGCCTGTTCGCATCAAATTCCATACAGTTGTTGTTGTGTTGTTGTTGTTGTTTTTTTATTTTACTTCACCAGAATTACAGGCAGTAGAGTGCCTTCTCACTAGACCAGGTCTAGTTCTCACAAATGATGAAGAATGTGAATGAACATGCTAAAGCTAATGAAAAACAA